GGGATTCCACATGAGGTTAACGAGGGGGCGTGGCACACATTAGGATCGGACGGAGCGGGATATGACATTTACACTGATCGGCTACAATATAGCACACGGATACGTCTCTGCCGCTGAAGCTTTGCGCCAGTGTTGCCACTTTCAGCAGCGAAGCTCATACCTGCGTTCATGGCTCAGTGGGCTAAGCCTGTGTGCCTGCAATCATACGGTCGCCGGTTCAAACCCAGCGTATTTAGAACGTGAATAGCGATCTTCCGCTGAGAGCGGTCCTACACGCTCCCGATGCAAGTAAAACAAAGGTCATGTGGTTTGCTTTTTTGCCGATTTAACATACTTTAATACTTCCGACAATGGAAGTTTTGAAAAGAAGACAGATTATGGTGGTTATTTCATGATTTTACATAATGATTTCAGCAAGATATAAACTGAAATACACGAGAAAGATACGCGGTCGACGATGCCCTCGTCCCGAGCGTTAACTCTGCATAGGTACTGCATCATATTTATATGGTCACAATTTTTCATTCCATCTACCAATAAACTGTGAAAAGGAATTTATTGTTGCTACTTTTCTTGCGTTTCAAACTGCCTTTCCAAAGTGATGGGTGTGGGGTGCAGTGACATTCCAGACTGATGGGCCATTGACAGCATGCAAAGTACTACAGGTGTGAGGACACCTATCCCATCAATATTCATTGTGCAGGCCACTGACTTTGAGAAAAAGAGTGTCACTCTAAAGTGCTAACACTTTAGTAATCAAACCACATAAAATTTCAAAATGTCTCTTTCACCTATGTGTAGCCAACCCCTGTGTCTATAATTCAGAGCTCAAAAGTCTTGGCTAGAAATGTCTATAATGTGATTTTTTACAATGTCTCAGCATGTCTGAAAATAGGTTTTTGAGAAGCATATGTTTAAATTTATGATTTTAACAAAAAATAGAATAATAACATTCTAAGAGGTCTCAGATTATTGATGCTGAGTTTGTGCTGAATAAAAGCAAATGTAACACTTTGGGGTAAATGTTTTTTAGACAGGTGAAATATTTTAAAATGTCAAGGCGTGTCAGACTACCCCGAAAGTGGCTGAGAGGCCGCAGACTCTAGAGGGTTAAAGCATCCCAAGTGACCAGATGAAATCACAGCAGGGTCACAGGGTTGGGCGGTCGGCCATGATTACTTGACTGAGCGCCGGACGACGTACAGGCCCCCGGGGGTGTGGACATGGCCGCCCCCAGCGTCCCCTTGCTGGCCTCCATGAAGGCGTCCTGGAAGCTGTAAAGACACTTCTTTTTGGCGCCGTTTTTCCTCTCTTTCGTCTCCGTGGGGACAGGGGCCTCACCGCCTGCCGCCGTGGGCGGGACTTCCGGAAGCGGCGGTCCTATCATATCACCTTTTTTAGAGACAGAACTGCGTTTTAGCCACGCATGCTGGCGGGCGGCCGCGGATCAGAACGGCCCTGGGTTCGAGCGCGGCGGCCTGCCTCACCCGGCAAGGAGTCCTGGAGGAAGAGGGCGGGGTTCCAGCTCTTGATGACGTTGGTGTCCCAGATGTTTTCGAACTTGAGCGACGGACACTGGAGGGCGCTGTTCCAGTCGGCTGCAGCGTTCCCGAAGCAGTTCTGGTACACGTGGTCGGGGAGCGAGGGCGGGAACACCGGGTGTTTACTGCTCGGGTGACTGGACGTCGGGGTAGACGGCAGCGTCTGAACGGCAGCCCCAAAAAAAGGATCAGTGTTCAGGTTTATTTCCATTTTTATTTGCGTAAGAAACTACTCTAAGACATATAAACTTAAATGTTTGGTTCTCAATTGTGAGGGAACGTTTATAAGGTTTCTGTGAACTCAGCAGCAGTGCTTGGGGTGATTAAGTAGCCTGGATGATGGCTGCCCCCTTGTGGCAAACCTGAAGACAGCACAAAAAAAGCCACAACCTCCAGGAGCAGGACCAACACTAGGTAAATAACACTGGAGAGGACTGGGTTAGTTTCTTTGGTCATTAACACTGGAGTGAGTGTGGAGAAACAATATAAAAACTGTATAAAAACAGTGAACAACAAAGGAAACTGTCTCTGCACTATCCTCAGAAAGGGGGCACCTTACCATAATATTTACAGTACTCAGGCAAAGAGGGCAGTGTTACCTTGCTGTGTGGCAGGGGGGCACTGGGGTAGACCGTAGGGTGCAGGAGGGGCCGTGGTAGGTGCGAGAGGCCGTGTAGGGGCAGGTGGCCGTGGATGTGAGGGTACAGGTGCAAAGCAGGATGGGAGCCTTTCTCCGGGAGGAAGGCATGCCCGGCGGGGTGCGGGCGACCGGGCGGGAGGCCAGACAGGGCCTGGCTGCAGGCGTGGCACTCGCAGGGCTGTGGGCTGGGCTCCGTCTGCAGAGGACCAATCAGGATACGTTATATTTAACCCTCGCATGCTCACATTTTCCCCACAATATCACACGTTCTGTCCGACCGGCAGCTAATAACAACCTGCTGGTGTGGGTACGACGGTGGTGGGCTGTCATTCTGAGAGGACCCTCTGACAGAGCTCCTGCTTCCTGGGGAGAGCGCCCCTTGCTGTCCCGGAGGTTCCCCGCCACTCTCCCCATCCGCCTCCTCCTCATCAGCCTCGGATGAACTGGTACTGGAGCTGGAGCTGCTGCTGGCTCTGGGAGACTGGAGTGGTGGTTGGGGTGGGGGGGATTGGAGAAGGGTGGGTTATTCAACAAACCACCGCAGGACAATCGCGAAGGGGGATGTTTCTGCGGGGTCCGCAGACCACGTTTAACAGGAGAGACTGCGGGTCCCACCTCGTGCTTGCAGGGCATGTCCTCGCCCCCGCCATTCAGCTCGCCGTGGAGCCCGTTCACGGCAGCCAGCACCTTGGGGTCAGCGTAGCCGCCTAGCGGGTAAATATCTGGAAACTTCTCCGAGAGCAGAGGCACTTCGTCATCTTCGCCGCCCCTATCCCGATTTAAAAAAAAAAAAAAGAATTAATTTAACAATAATTATAAAAGAGACCATACATGGGGTGTTGTGGCAGGACAGGTGCGGGGACGCGACACACTCACAGGGCGGGGGCGTCGTCACTGGCAGGGAGGCGAGCCGCCCGCTGTACCGGGACGGGGGAGCTGGAAGCCGAGCCAGAGGCAGAGCTAGCCGAGGACACGCTGGGCTGCAGCGCCACCTGCAAGAAGTCCGGTGCCGGCGCGGACCCCGGGGGAAGGGGGAGGCGCACGTGGAGGTCATCCGTGACGGGGGAATCCATGATGCCACATGTCAGGATGTGGGACAGACTGCAGTCATCGCAGGCACATCTAAGAGGGAGTGGACACTGCATTATAAAGAGGCCGGTATAGATCAGCCTTCAGCCAGTGGGGGAGGGTGACAGACCTCCTGCGGTAGTTGCAGTTGGGACAGTCCGGCATGCTTATTCGGGATGACAGCGCCTGCCTCATGGCCTCTGTAAAGTTCCCTTCTCCAGGGGGGGACTTCTTGCTGTTCGTTAACTGAAGACGACAAAAAAAAAACGGAAGAAAAACTTTCTTTCATGCACACTCTGTCGCCACAGTTCAACCAGGGCGGGGGGTGGGGGTGGGGGGGGTTTACACGTGGTGTTTTCCGCAGGCCTCCGATGGGGGCACCATTTCCTCATAAGTCTGGGCCGGGCTCCATAAACGCTCGTCAAGGAGGTTACAAGCGGCGCCAACAGGTCCAGACACACGCAAGCTTCAAAGACGGGCATTTAAGTCTGCATGGTCCTTACCTGCTCTTCGATGAACCTCCTCTGCTTGAAGAATTCCCAGTCTTCCTTCAACATGCGCTGCTTGGTCTTCAGTGACATCTTTAGAGAATAATGAACGAGGGACGGGGAGGGAAAAAAAAAGAAAAAAGAACAGGTTTCACCCATGTCAGAAACTTTCTGGAAGACACCCCTGGCAAACGGCGGACTACAGCCATTAACTGTCAGTCACCACAAAATCACAGGACAGAGGGGATAAATCGGCAAGGGCAAATAGGCAGGTGAAAGACATCGTGACAGGCTAAAATGCCATTCCGGTGACAAATATCTGCCTGATCTGGCAAAGGGACTGAAATCATGACGGTGGAACAATAGGACACAGGCAGACAGAGGTGACAGTGACACACATGCCTTCCCTAACGACACGGGAACGTTGAAAGGCAAAGCAGAAACAGCAGCTTGCTGGGAACTTCTGTATATCCGCATGAGGGGGATGTGAGATTCAGCTCGTGACATCATCAGACAGTCCATCGGGCTCAAAAAACACTTATGATTCTGTCAAAAAAAAACTTTCACGGGATTTTATGGCCGTACAACAAAGGATCGGAAAGACACCAAACCGACGCCTCCACTGTCGAGATGAATCCTAATCTGAGGAGACAAATTTGAGGCTCTGACCCCCCCCCCACATCACGGTTCGCATCACCGTGGGCTTCTGCAGTTCGTTTATTTCATGTGGTTCTGGCTTTTAGCGTTAAACCGCTAAAGCAGACGGCGCCTGAACCGAACAGTGTTCTTTTAAGGGTCCGTTTCTAACCACTTTTGCTAACTGGGCTGCGGTGGCGGTATCATTTTTAGACACAGGAAATGGCGTGCGGTCGGTGCGGGTCTTGTGACCTCACCTGCTTGTCCACATAGTCGTCGATGCGCTTCTCGCATTCCAGCCACTCGGCGGCCACCGCATGCATCTCGCGCTCCAGCTGCTGGTAGTTCTCCAGCAAGGTGCGGTACATGTCCTCACTGTAGGAGTCCCGTGACGCCGTCCCGTGCCTGTCCGGCCACACACGAGCCATTTCAGTCACCCGGCACAAAACGTTCAGTCTGTCGACCCCGCCCCCATCCCCAGGCAAACTGGCCCCGCCTCCATCACAATGGCCGTGCCTCAAGTCAACTGGCCTCATGCCCCCCCCCCTGCCCGGCACAGTCACCTCAGCTGGGCCACCAGTGACGGCAGGCTGCCATGCAACAGTGGCTCCGAGAAGACAAGGTTCTCGAACAGGTGCTTGTTGTGCAGCTCCCACGTCACTTGGAACTTCTGCAGGTGCTCGTTCTCCTACGGGACAAGGAACCCAGGGCCAGCAGTGAGGATCCACAGTGAAGTCACCATTCCGGAATAACGCCACCATGCTCCGGGCCACACCCCCTCGAGGCCCCATCTCCATAGCCAACCCCCCGAGGCCACACCAGAAAAATACCGAATGAGACTCACCAGCGTGAGGAGGAAGGTGCTGATTGTGCGGGCCGCCTGGCAGAGGGCGCTGTACTCCTCCAGGAGGAGGGACATGAACTGGTGCGCCTGGGGGGGGCCCTGCACGGCCGGCGCCTTGGAGCCCGCGGACAGGTGTTTCAGGAGGCGCACCTTCATCTCCAGCACATACTCGCGGGCCTGCTGCTCCAGGCGCTGGTACAGCTGGTAGGGATCCTTCTCACAGAGTCGGGGGGGGGGGGGGGGTTAGGGGTTAGCGGGGCACCACTCCATGGGGCTGTGGATACACATCAAGACCGTCAGCATACCTGTCGACCAGCTCCTTCATGCTCTCCTGGTCCCGGTCGAGCGGCTGGTCGTGGTCGTCGGCCAGCGGCGTGCCCGTCTGCCGGTAAATGCACCGGACCAGGTACCGGACCTCGGACCAGTAGTTCTGAAGCTGCTGGGACTCCCTCTCCGACTCGGCCGATATCTCCCTGTAAGGCGAGAAGCAAGACCGGTCAAGATGGGTCGCTCTACCGAGCCTCGACCGGATCCCAAACCCAGATGGGGATGGGCCTCACCTCCGCTCCACACAGGCCTCGCAGCCACATGACGGGTCGGAGGGGACAGGGGCGCCCAGATCCGGGGATGGCAGCGTCGGGGACCCGCCGATGGGCTCCGAGGCCGAGCTGCTGGGGCCCATGGGCATGTGCAACAGGAAGTCTTGGCTCTGGGTCAAAAAAATGAAGCGGCGATGTGTTAAAGGCGGCGGGGACGGAGGCACAGGATTTCCTGTGGCCGCTCTGAGTCACTAGCCCGTGGAAGCGTTCGAACGCAGAGAGGGAAGGCAAGAGCCCAGGTGAACCCAGTCTGTCAGGCCTCCTTGTGGACAACGTGGCTCCCTATCGTTGGCGCCGTTGCCAGTTCCGTAGTTTCATTATACGTTACGCGGCAAGTGATGGCCGGCCAGCGTGGGGGCCACTGCAAATGGGGGTTTTACCGACCCCACGGTGACTGAGTACCCTCCCCCCCCCCTCACCGGCAAGGGCTGCTCGGGGGCGGCGGGTCGCTCCTCCGTCTCCACAGTGCGCCGGCACTCGGGACACACCCACAGGGGCAGCTGCAGCAGGCCGCCGGCTTTGGGCGAGCCGCAAGTGCCGCTCGAGCCCGTCGAACTGGCGTCCAGGGGCGGGCAGTCCTTACGCTCGCTCCGGCAGAGGAGGCAGCGCTCCCCAGCTGTGTACGGTGCCCTCTGCCCCAGACCAAAGGTGAAGGGAGTCTGTAGGGAAGAGGGTGGACGGGGGACGGGGGTTCACAAAGGTGGGAGGAGTCGGTGAGACAGCCGGCAGATACCGGCCACCGTGACGGGAACGGAAACAGGCAGCCAATATATGTCCTGCTCCGCGAGTCCCGCGAGCTGAAAACACAGCTGCCGTAAAAACGCTCACGTGCTGGGGGAGGAAACCACATGTGCTACCTTGGGGGGAGGATGTTTTAAAAGCAGCATTCAAAATGCCCAACTGAGTGCAAGCCCCTCAACCACACGTAATACATAACGACCGGCACCGCTACTGGAGAGCTCCCCCCAGAGGTCAAACACAGGAGCAGCAACATTACCTGCATGACGTTTGTAAACTCGGGATTCGCCGGCCCTTCGGAGAACTGCATGCCGTTCATGGAGACCTGTGCAGGACAAGGGACAGGTAGCACGCCGCTGTTAGCGCCCGAAAGCACGAGCACTTCTCAGCGATTTCCTCATGCCGCCAGGGTAGCGTTGCACACAAAAGGACAGCAGGGGGCGATGTCACGGTGGAGGGTGTGTTACTGGTGCCCGCCGTATCGCTGGACACACCTTGGGATTGCTTACGGACCCACATGGTCAAACAATTCCAGCAGTGTGATACCAGGACACAAATATATGCAGCGCACGTAGGGATGGAGCAGGAGGAGCCGCACGTCTGGGATGGACTCCGGGAGATGGGCTGATGGTGAACACAGTGTTGCATGAAAGCGTATCAAGGGAGAAAATAGGATACTTATTCAGCTGCGGTCTGTCAGAATGGGGTCCGACTGCCCCACCATGTTAATGGGGGGGCGGTCTGCGAAAGGCTGCGGGTTCAACCACACTCTTTAGCTGGTTTAAATGGATAAAGGCGACAACTAATAACCAAACGTATCGGTTATATGAAAACACTAACGGCTCGACCAACCGGTGCTATGGCTCTGTGGGTTAAAACCTAGTGCCTGTGTTTGGAAGGTCATGAGTTTGAATCCCATTGCCGGCAGGTTGGGCCACCCGAGCAAAGGTTCTTAACCCCAAAACCTGCTCCAGATGTGCTGGACAAACAGACCCCTATTAGTGCCTCCCATATGAGAGTAATAGGGGATAATTAAGGACGCATGAAAATGAAAGAATGTTTTATGAACCTGTACTTATGCCTGTACAGATGGCAAATCGTCATCGAGGACAGAAGTGGGTGGGAATTCAAAATACACGGGTGCCGTCGCTCAGACTGTTTCCTCGCCATTCGCAGTGGTGACCTGATCCAGGATCAGTTGGAGTTCAAACTAAATGTACCATTCACCTCTGCTAATCGCCAGCACCACATGCCACCACCCCACCTCCAAGCGTTACCTACCCAGGCACCATGAATTCAGGTTCACATCTGCAGTTCTCTCTCTAAACAACAAACTGCTTTAGCCACGCGATGGGCAGTATCCCCCTCCGGCCTACGGGCCAGTGTTTACGCCGGTCAGTGTGGCTCAGCAGGTTGGGACTCTGAAAGTGGACATCAGGTCAAATCCCAGGGTCAGCAGTGTGGTGTCACTACTGGGCCTGGATCAAGGCCCTTAACCCCAAGTTGATCCACAGAATGTCTGACCCTGCTGTCACAACTGAATGTCGCTTTGGGTAAAAGCATTTGTTAATTTAATGGTCTCATATCCATGGAGTCCCATCTATCAGACAGCATAAATTATCCACGATTGTACACAACACTGCCATTTTTATTCATCCATAACTTACAGCCAGACCCTCACAAAAGTTGTAATTTCCCCCCAAACTATAACAACAGATAGGGGGGGAATATACACAATAGCAGAATGTAACAGCCTTGGTGTAAATTTAGATATTGATCAGCAGAGACAAAACCTTAACGGAGGGTCAATACAAATTTAAGTCACAGGATGCGACTTTTATTTAGCTGCTGACCGTGGATTTTATTACCTGTAAGCTTCAATCAGGCGGTAAGAATCATGTCTAATAAAACGATACCGCTAATAAAACGCTTAAATGACACCAATCGCATGCTTTAGATGCCATCCGGAAAGCGGCCGGTTAAGCCGTGCAGTTTCACCTGAAATGACACGAACCGAGTCTGCCGCAAAGAGAAGCGGAGGTGTGCAGATGCTGGGGCGCGCTTGGTGCCCAGGGCAGGGCAGGGCAGGGCAGGGCAGGGAGTAAGCGAGGCCCTCTGGGCACCAGCAGGGCCATCCTGCCCGGTCCAGCTGGGCGATCTGCGGATCTGTCCCTATTGCCCCTGTGAAGACACCCCCGCCCCCTCCCTCTCCCTGGGGAGACACAGCTACCTCCGGCCCACTAACCGGCGACTAGTTAGTAGCTGGCAGCCTTACAGGTTGTGTTTATAGCCCGTGGAGCTTTGATCGGAAGCGTTTACAAGGCGTCAGTAGATGAGCCCCGATGTCCCGGGTCAAGCAGCTATCGACCGTGGGGGACGGGGGGGGGGCGTCGTTACCTAGCCCTCCTCAGCACCGCGGCAGGGCCATCAGGCACCGAGATGCCCGTCTCTCGTCCCCGTCCTCGGGACTAACACCCCCACAGCCGGCTGTGTGCGGTTGTCACGGCCCCGTCGGGGAGGGAGACAGGGGGCAGGCAGGCTGTCACCTCACCCCGGTCAGGCAGCCTTACCTCTCCGCGCAGGCCCGCAACTCCACCGGCACCAGTACTCCCCGTGCCTCCCGCTGTCAGGAAGCCCATCACGGAGGAGGGTGACCCCGCCTGGGGACTCCGGGCCGCGGCCGGGGCGCCGGCCTTGCCGCCGACTGCGCCGCTGCAGCCGGTGCCGCCACCGCCCCGCTTGTTCTTCCTGCGTTTCGCTCCGCGCTTGGCGTCGGTCGGGCTCATTTCTCCGCTGAACTAAGAGACAACTTGCCGTCTAGAGAGGGCGGGGTCTCGGGAGGAACTGCCGGGCTCTGCAGCCGCAATCGGAATAAAGAAAAGCAATATTACAGACTCCAAAATATCCAGTCACTCTGTATCTTCGGAGGGCTTATAGACTTCAGATTCCAATATGGCCGACCAGACAGGCTGCTGGACCTTGCGTTTCACGCATCTGCGTGGAAAGGTTTTCCTGCGCATTTAAGGGCATTCTGGGAATCGTAGTTCTTATTTCAACCCATACCGACGGTCTCCGTCCCAGTGTTTCTCGCACATAAACCTACAAATCCCAGCATGTCTTTTGTTATTGACATACGATTACCGTGGTGCGTACTGCTTGTTGTAGTCTTTTGTGTGGCAAAGCTACTTTTTTTTTGTTGTTGTCAGTGTGTTTTGAGGGTGGGATAAGGGTAGCGAGCTATTTAGACGGAAATAATCTACATAAGTTATATTGGTCAACAAGTCAACAAATTTTTAAGAAATATTACCATCAGGTGAATAGATGAATACTTCTGTAAAAGTACATTAAGAGGCGTAGGCCTTTAATGTTTATGAAGGTACTGGAATGATTTATGCGGGACATATGATTATATACGCTTCAATAAAATAATGCCACGATTATTCAGAACAATACTGAAAGCCAGACATTTGACCTTTTTATGTTAACTTGCGCTTAATGCTTTAGGTAGTTAACATATTTCTGGTCGGACTTGCAGACTCGCATGGGCGTGATACCCCAGGCAACAGGAAAATGTGAATTGTTATACTTAAGAAATTAAAGAAAAGTGTGTTTTGTGGAATATTAGTCATCATGAAATTTATTTTACATATTACAATTATGACTTAATTTACGATCCGGTATAAATAATACTAAATGTTAACTATGATTAAATTATTTAATTGATCAATTGCTTGCATGTTTCATTTTAATTGTTTAAGCTTAGTTTCTAAGGAAAATAATTAAACTCTAAATTGATGTAGGGACTTCAACTAGTCTATAGATGGCACTGTTTTCCAGCAGTTTTATTTTAGCAACGTGAAGAGGGCATATCGTCCTACCTGTAGTGGCACATACAGGTGGCGCCTGTAAGTATATAGCAAGTTCTTAATTGGATGAAAAATGTCCAACTGGAAGCTCATGTAGATTCTCTCTCTTTCAATCTCTTTCTCTTATACACACACACACATATATATGTCATGGCTATGAGGGTGTCCACGCTTTTTTTTGGTTCAAAACCAACCAAGCGTGTTTTAGACAGTTACCAAAATGCACAAGTACAAGCATTGCAAGTGGACTGAGACAGTCCTCCACCCTGTCAGTAACATTAGTGTACACCAGCCAATGTGGTGCCCATTCCTGCAGCTCCCCCTAGGGGCCGGAGGTTTGCTAAGTCAGCGCCCCCTTGCAAGATCCCACCCAAGGCAATTGCCTGTGTCACCTTATGGGTTGACCAGCACTGGTGTGTACCATGTCAGTAATACAGGATCGTCTCCGCACCAGTTTGTGTCAGTTCGCGTGTAGCATGTCCGTCCACAAACCAGTAACTCCATCCTGCTGGGATTCAGCCCAGACCAGTCAGCCCAATACCTTTGATTTACACAGATAACAAGGCCTCTGTCATCTTCATTGTCATCCTCCCGGAAGGGCCGCTGATACCACTGCAGAACTTTCTAGAGGTTAGCAGAGCCTGGAAGAGCCCCAGAGCTATAAACACCGGCCTGAATGTGTAATGCGTGTGCTGCCTGACTGTCCGATGTTCCCCAATCTTTACAATCCTCCATCAGCCCCCTCTCCTCCCAGTCCCCCTCCCATCTGGAGCTCTGTAAGCTCCCACAATGCCAGCTTGAAGTGTTTGCATAAAAAAAAAAAACACAAATTCCATGCTGTCACGGCATCTCAAAACATTTAACTGGCATGATTATAATCCTTATATAAAGTAAATGGTAATATATTTAAAGTCGACTTTTGATGTACAGTCAGACTCGCTTTCCACAGGACTTCATGAGGCACAGACGTCATAAGCTCCTTTAATATTCATGTGCGTTATGCACAGACAATAAGAACGTTTCGGTGCACTGCGTATGCAGTGATGAGACAACTTTGTCCATCTCTATCCCTCACACTGCTTATCATAACATTTGCATCAGTGCACTGTTTGTTTACAATTGTCATCTGAAGACTGGACTGTATATATTCTGTGATCATCTCCCTTTTCCCCGGAATTACACTGTATTGTCCACATTTCCTGTCAACAAAGGCATCTGGTGGAAATGTCAAGGTGTGGCCCTCGTGTCCCTCACTTCAACTATTTGCCACACAGTTTTATTAATTAACTGATCAGTTATCTGTCTTTGAGCTCCTGATGGTGGCCAGTTCCCTGCTTGGTCTCCCGGCCTGACTACACATCTGGCGTCCTCCCCTGCTGCTGGACCATACCAACCTCCCACTGTCTTGGCACCAGCTGGACCTTCACATTTATACCTGGACTATACACAATTTTACTTCATAAACTGGGATTTTGCTATTTTGAACTTCCTCTGCTGCCCCCTGCAGGATGGGCTCCCCCTTTGTGTCTGGTTCCTCCCAAGGTTTCTTCCTTCTTTGGCAGGGCACTTGAAATCTGGACCTCGATTCCAAATCCAGGCCTTGTTTTCAGTTCTCCCAGGTAGTCAGTTTAATAATTACTGATTCTGATTGGTCAGAGGCTTCACACCTGGCACACAGGTAAAGAAAGGCTGGAAAACCTCGGACCTCGAGGACCGTGATTTGAATAATAGGGTTCTGGGGAGTTTTTCCTTGCCACTGTCACCTTTGGCTTGCTCACTGGGGGCTTTGGGCAGGGATGATGTAAAGCACTTTGAGACAATGTAATGTTGTGAATATGCGCTATACCAATAAAGTTGAATTGAATTATCACTGATTATATATGTGTTGTAAAAGGTTTCTGGACCGCCCCTTTAAAATGCTGTAGCCTAATAGAAACTGTAGGTGCATTCTGGACTATTGAACATTAGAGTTAAATTTGTGAGTCAGAAGTGTTACTTGGAGGTAACAAGAAAGTAAAATTATTTAAAAATAAATTTTAAATCTGGACACAGTAAACAAAAAATATGTTACACGCAAACATGAACAATTCTACAAACGTGTCATTGCAGCCTAATTAATGTTAATATTGACAAATAATGGGGACTTCATGGAAAGATCTGGAAGTAGCTGTTAATCGCTTGTGTATGTCCCTCTGGAAAGGTGAAGAAAACATTTAGGAAGCATTAGGAAAAAAAAAGGAGAGAATAGTCAAACCAGCTAGAGGGTTAATGTAAAATGTGCTGGCCTACGTCAGGGAAATTAAAAAGAGAACCCCCCATCCAGGTAGGACGTCAGGATGATAAAAGCATCTGTTAAATGGGCCTACCGGGCTGGTGTGATATGATTATGCTCAAATCCAGTCTCACTATAACGATTTCACATACTGTGTTTAGGCAGACAAAAAGCACACCATTTATTTCCTCTTTACTTAGACGCCTTTGCAGCCCAAAGCCTAGCTGTCAGTCAAGGAAAATCCCAGATTTACGGTATTAGGCAGTTTTGCATATTTATTGTATAAACAATGATTGGATTATATGGAATATTTCAGAGGAAATAAGACTGAACGAATGCATTCATTGTGTCATTATGCCATCAGCACGTTCATAATTGATGTGTCTTAAAGGACTTAATGAACAGCCGTTATCGCCGCTCCCGCACCCGTCGATTTGCGGCCAGAAATAGACGCGCGCCTCCGTTAACTCGTGCGCCTGCGTTAATCGCGCATCCGTGACCTTCGTTTCGCCGCGCCGCAGTGCCGACAGGTGACGCTTGGCATGCTGCAGCATGTCTCCTCTATCTTTAGTAGGATCATCCTGATTGCAGGTAGTGTTTTTTTTTTTTTGCCCTGCCAGACCTGACAATTCACTCGGACAGTCAAACAGCAGCAGAAAGTAGCGAGAAGCGCTGGTAATCAGCTTCATTAGCCTTGCTTGTCAGGTTCCACATCTGTTATTCGAATCTCCTTTGACCTCTGCATTATCATCTTTATCTAGCAACAGAAAAGGCAGCCAGACTATTAACCAGCCCGTGTAATCTTAACGAAAAATGCAGTCTGTGATTTACTCAACCATTCTTTATGAGATTAGCTCTTTTTAGCTCCCCTTTGGCCGACTGCTAGCGATAACCTTGGTAACATAATTATGAAACAGTTCCTGCATCTAAATTATAAGTACAGTCCATGACGAAGGGAGAGCTTAGGTTAAGAGGGCAGAAGATTAGAGTGAAGGTTTTAATTAATTATGCTAAACAAACAGCGCATTGGCCCTTAAGGGCAGAGAGGGATTGAATTAGCTCTTTATCACGGCTGGGATTCACAGTGGAATAAGTCTTCGGCTGAAATAAGGATGGTAAATTACAATCTGTCACGGTGACTCTGAAGATGTCTATGGTCATTCTCACACCTGAAGGGGAATTACTGTCAGTTTGCAAAATACAGTACAATGGAGGGTCGTGAACTGCTTGTGTATGCCAAGAGAAAATCTTGGCCAATTACAGTAACAGGAATAGCAGGGGCAAAATCATTAATCATCAGCTGCGGACTGTCAGTGTGAATTCTGCCATTGCGTAATCTTTAAAATATTCCTTATATTAACTGGGACGTCTTTAGCCTAATCTTAAAAGGATGACGGAGGTAGAAAACAGCCTAAACTAAATACCCAGGTAGCATTCCCACATGGGCCCCATATGGGCTCCATATGGGCCGAAATATGGGGCCCATATGGGTTGTCCCATATGGGCCCCATCAAAATCTGCACCCAAGAATCATATGGGCCTCATGTGGGCCAGCCCAGAAACCCCAAATGGGTTCGGTATGGGTTATTGCTGAGGCCCATATGGGCCACATTACCTGGGCACAATGTGGGCCAGCCCATATGGG